AGATAGAACGACAGACGGACAGACAGACAGACAGATAGATAGAACGACAGACGGACGGACAGACAGATAGATAAAACGACAGACGGACAGACAGACAGATATATAGAATGACGGACGGACGTACAGACAGACAGATAGAACGACAGACAGATAGATAGAACGATGGACGGACGGACAGACAGATAGATAGATAGAACGACAGACAGACAGACAGCTAGATAGAACGACGGACGGACGGACAGACAGACAGATAGAACGACAGACAGACAGACAGATAGATAGAACGACAGACAGACAGACAGCTAGATAGAACGACGGACGGACGGACAGACAGACAGATAGAACGACAGACAGACAGACAGATAGATAGAACGACAGACAGACAGACAGCTAGATAGAACGACGGACGGACGGACAGACAGACAGATAGAACGACAGACAGACAGACAGATAGATAGAACGACAGACAGACAGACAGCTAGATAGAACGACGGACGGACGGACAGACAGACAGATAGAACGACAGACAGACAGACAGATAGATAGAACGACAGACAGACAGACAGCTAGATAGAACGACGGACGGACGGACAGACAGACAGATAGAACGACAGACAGACAGACAGATAGATAGAACGACAGACAGACAGACAGCTAGATAGAACGACGGACGGACGGACAGACAGACAGATAGAACGACAGACAGACAGACAGATAGATAGAACGACAGACAGACAGACAGCTAGATAGAACGACGGACGGACGGACAGACAGACAGATAGAACGACAGACAGACAGACAGATAGATAGAACGACAGACGGACGGACAGACAGATAAAACGACAGACGGACGGACAGACAGATATATAGAATGACGGACGGACGTACAGACAGACAGATAGAACGACAGACAGACAGACAGATAGATAGATAGATAGATAGATAGATAGATAGATAGATAGATAGATAGATAGATAGATAGATAGATAGATAGATAGATAGATAGATAGATAGATAGATAGATAGATAGATAGATAGATAGATAGATAGATAGATAGATAGATAGATAGATAGATAGATAGATAGATAGATAGATAGATAGATAGATAGATAGATAGATAGATAGATAGATAGATAGATAGATAGATAGATAGATAGATAGATAGATAGATAGATAGATAGATAGATAGATAGATAGATAGATAGATAGATAGATAGATAGATAGATAGATAGATAGATAGATAGATAGATAGATAGATAGATAGATAGATAGATAGATAGATAGATAGATAGATAGATAGATAGATAGATAGATAGATAGATAGATAGATAGATAGATAGATAGATAGATAGATAGATAGATAGATAGATAGATAGATAGATAGATAGATAGATAGATAGATAGATAGATAGATAGATAGATAGATAGATAGATAGATAGATAGATAGATAGATAGATAGATAGATAGATAGATAGATAGATAGATAGATAGATAGATAGATAGATAGATAGATAGATAGATAGATAGATAGATAGATAGATAGATAGATAGATAGATAGATAGATAGATAGATAGATAGACAGATAGATAGATGGATGCTGTGTGACTCACAGGTGTGATGTATCCCAGCACAGCTCCTCTAAAGTGTCGTGTGGACACACACTGGGGACAGAACCTCTTCTCCTCTCTCACTATGTCCCGCCACTGAGGCTCCGTCACCGCCAGACCGCACACACACACACACACATTCAGTGTTAGCATATCCAACAGACAACACTCACACAGATCACAGCAGTCTCACCTCCGCCTCCTGGATCTTACTGGCTTTCTTGCCATCGGTCTTTGATAATGTGCCTCTGACTGCAGGCAGCAGCAAACAGACGAGCAGAAGTGTCAAATCTGCTCTCATTCTGAGGAGCAACAAACACGGATTATAATCATAAATCATTTGATATCAACACTGCACTATGATGTTACCACAGTATCAATTAAAAAATGGTACGGGTTTTTTTCTGAATCCCCTGGATCTGTAATAATGCGAGTCTCAAATGCAGCATTAAATGCACCTGTGCTGCAGTTTTAACACGAGGGACAACATTAAAAGGTGTCGATTTTATCCCCTGCAGAAAATCCAATCACTCACCCGATATGTGTCTAATATGCTTACTCTGCGATATAAATGTTCATGATCTTCCGCAGAGATGATGTGGACATACAGGTTTGACACTGTTGTGTGCATTTACTGTCACGTGACCCCAAACCGTTGCAGTTTTCAAAATAAGAGTCTCTAACAAATTCTTTACGATAAAGTTGAACAAATAATTTCGTATCGTTTCTATGAAAAGTACTAATGCATGTATAAAACATGTAAATGCATGCATATAAAAAAATTTGTGTGTATAATATATATATATATATATATATATATAAACACACACACGCACGTATATATACAGTATGTTTATATGCGTATAAATGTTTGTATAATTATATAATAAAATAATCGAAAATATTAATACAATAAAAATGGTAAAACATAAACTAATTTATAAAATACATACAGGTAATACCACAAAAAGCTGGAATCATCAAACAGCTGAGAACACAGGCAGATTTTCTAATCAAAATCAGTGTTTATTTTCTAATTCACATTATATGAGCAAACAGAGAAACACAGGAGAAAAAATAGAGATAAAAGGTAGATGAAAGCAAATGAGAGAGGGCTTTCAGTCCCTGCTAATAACACTAAAACAGCCTCGCTCGTCCTGCGATCCTGGTTCAGCGGTGACTGAAGAAGCCCTGAGGATGATTGTACTTGAAGGGCTTCAGACGACTGGGACCCCTGAGAGAAAGAATTGAGATTTCACATGAACACCACATATTTGTATCCACCAGAAAACATGGAAATTATTCAGTATATTCATTTACACAACAAATAGATGAAATAGAATTAGAATAGAGTGCTAGAGTTAGAGGGTAAAGTCAACAAATATATGAAATAGAATTAGAATAGAGAGCTAGAGTTAGAGGGTCAAGTCAACAAATAGATGAAATAGAATTAGAATAGAGTGCTAGAGTTAGAGGGTAAAGTCAACAAATATATGAAATAGAATTAGAATAGAGAGCTAGAGTTAGAGGGTCAAGTCAACAAATAGATGAAATAGAATTAGAATAGAGAGCTAGAGTTAGAGGGTCAAGTCAACAAATAGATGAAATAGAATTAGAATAGAGAGCTAGAGTTAGAGGGTCAAGTCAACAAATAGATGAAATAGAATTAGAATAGAGAGCTAGAGTTAGAGGGTCAAGTCAACAAATAGATGAAATAGAATTAGAATAGAGAGCTAGAGTTAGAGGGTCAAGTCAACAAATAGATGAAATAGAATTAGAATAGAGAGCTAGAGTTAGAGGGTCAAGAAAAAAAATAGATGAAATAGAATTAGAATAGAGTGCTAGAGTTAGAGGGTCAAGTCAACAAATAGATGAAATAGAATTAGAATAGAGTGCTAGAGTTAGAGGGTAAAGTCAACAAATAGATTAAATAGAATTAGAATAGAGAGCTAGAGTTAGAGGGTCAAGTCAACAAATAGATGAAATAGAATTAGAATAGAGAGTGCTAGAGTTAGAGGGTCAAGTCAACAAACAGATTAAATAGAATTAGAATAGAAAGTGCTAGAGTTAGAGGGTAAAATAAAGATGGAAGAGGTGTTTTTAGCCGTTTCTTGAATATATTAATTATATTAATTACATAATTATATTAATATTCTGGGTTAAATACAACTCAAAGTTATCATGAAATCAAAATTTAAAACATTTCTAAAAACAAGCATTGCTTAATGTGCACAATTTATCAATGCATATCATACGATTGGGAAAATGCCTGTATTTTGTTTAAATATGACAAATTATGTCATTTACATTTAAGTTTCACTCGAAAATACCCCACATTAGAGAAATAAAATGGGTTACATTGTTAACTTCCAGCAAACAATAATTTTGATTCGTTCCTTTTTTGTCTGTCTTGCAGCAGGTCTAGTGTGTTACCTGGCAGTACGCAAGCACATCTTCTCTCTGGGAAACTCCTTGGGTCCCTCAGAGCCGTCACACACTTGACTCTCCGTCTCCAGATACACATCCAGACACACACACAAGCGCTGGATCTGATTGGTCAGGAGCTGGAGACCCGGACGAGGCCCCTGCAGCTCGGCCCGGAACATGTTCACCTCGCTCTCCATCGCCTGATCACATGACAACCACATCGTTTAGAGAACAATTTCACACTGAATACCTGAGCAGCTCTGCACACGCTGCTGCGGTGAGGCTCTTACCCGCAGGTTATCCTCAGTGCGGCCACTGCGCTCTCCTTTCCAGTGCAGAGAGAGAGAGAAGAGTGGCATGACCTCAGGGTAACGTGGGTTCACCACCACAGCGGCCAACAGACGAGCTGAGAGAGAACCAGAGACACAATTATGTCATCAGACATTTCCATGACTGTGGTATTTATGATGGGGTTTATGATGTTCATGTCATTGAATCTCTGAAATACTGTTACTTTAGTAATGTTTATACAATATTATCATTTTTTTATATATATATTGAATATAGTGCTGTCAAACGATTAATCGCATCCAAAATAAAAGTTTTTGTTCACATAATACATGTGTGTGTACTCTGTATATTTATTATGTATATATAAACACACACACATACAGTATATATTTTGAGAATATTTACATGTATATATTTATACATATCATTTACACTATATATAAATATATTTAGCATATAAACATAACACTTTTTTCTTAAATATATACATGCATGTGTGTGCATTTATATATACATAATAAATATAAACAATACACTCATATATGTTATGTAAACAAAAACCTTTATTTTGGATGCGATTAATCGTTTGACAGCACTAATTTGAATAAGATTTATTTCATTTTAGTTTAAGTTATGTGTTTTTGTCATTTTTTTTTAATGTTTTATTTAGCTTTAATTTGTATTTCAGCTGTAGCTTAAGTAATTTTAGTTCTTCAACTTAAAATTATTTTATTTTATATAAATTAATTTTATTTTCGTTTAGTTGACAGTGTTATTTTAATACAATTAATGTACCATTCTAGTTTTTTGGTATTTTTATATTTGCTGTTTTCATTTTAATTTTAAAGTTTTAGTAATTTTGTTATGCGTTTTTGTCATTTTTATTAGTTCTATTTAGCTTTAATTTTTATTTCAGTTTTAGTCATTTAAGTACTGCAAATTATTTTATTTCATTTAGCTGCCAATACAACAGTATTATTTTAGTATCACTGATATACTATTATAATTTAATATTTTGTTAATATTTTGAATGAGGTTTTATTATCCGTTTCAATTAAATATTTGTTAATTTTCTTTTAATTTTTCGGTTTGTTTTTCCCATTTTTATTGCTATTCATTTTTAATATGTCTATATAGTTTTTGGTTGTAGTTTATTTAGTTTTAATAGCTGAAATAAAGTAACTTTTTTATATTTTATTTTATTTCAAGTAATTACATTTCTGACACTGTCACACAGGACACATGTTTTAACCTGCTCAATATATTATAATGATTTTATGTATAATTGCGTTTTAATCGGTTTTCATGTTGTCTTAGCCATTTTAATGTGTGTATGTCTTTAAATGAGTCTGGGTCTGCCTGTGATGTGACTGATCACATGACAGGAAATAGGAAATGGACAGCATAAAGGAGGCAGCATGCCAAACAAGCAGTGTCATTGCTCACGACCATTTGGTGATCACCTGAATAGCGGAGTTACCATTGTGAACTCGCCTTTCCAGCACTTTTGGATTATCACTTCTGTGGACTTTTGTATATACACCAGTGGACACTTATCACATTCATATTGGGACTTACAGCACACTAGGATTCTTAAGGACTGTTTTAGGGCATGGAACTGAAAGACTCTGTGCTTTTAACAGCCTAAATGATTCTAGTTTTATTGTGTTGTTTTAAGTCTCTTGTGAATATTGTAAATATATATTTGATTTTCACTTTTAACATTGTTGTCTGTCTCATCTTTTTAAACACTCAAAGCTCGCACACAGTATAATTTGACCCCATTTTAACAATTGTAAATTCGACCAACAGAGCCGAACGTTACACATTTGTATGGATTTAGTGTAATTTGTGTAATTTTATTTCAATTAACAAAATATTTTAATTAGGGATGTAACGATTAACCGCAAGCCGGTTGAAAATCGATTCAAATATGTGACGATTCAAATCGGTTGAGATGCCAAACAAATCGCGATACAATTGGAGTAGGAGTTTATATGATTGTATCTCTGAGGGGATCTGACTATCTTTAGAAAAGTTTACGTGGTATTTTCTTTTCATCTTGCCTCTGAACAATGCATATTAAAGTAGGGTTCCTTTGTTTACAGCGGTAACCCAGGAAACACTGTACCATTGCTGTTCCATGAGCGCCACCTGCTGGCAGAGACTGAATCTGCGTCTCATTCAGCTCATCTGCTTTTTCGTTCACATTTCGATTTAGATTAAAAACTACTCATGCTGCATGTATGCTGCATCTTTGTTTGGATCATGATTAAAATCCAGTGGTTGCCTCTAATTTTAAATGCAAAGAGCACAGACAAAGCCTTAGTTTGTTCATATTAAGAGAACTTTTATTTGTGTAACGTGTTTGATTTGGGGTTTGTTTTAAAATTTCAATTTAGCTTTGTTGTATTTCGATTTCACAAAGAAACGTGTAGCAATAGCCTAATAAACCGACACCTTTTCATTTACTGTAAAATGTCTTCAATCTCAAAATCGTGAGAAAATCGAATCGTGAAATCAAAATCGTGAGTTGAGTGAATCGCTACATCCCTAGTTTGAATAGTTTTAACAGATTTAGTTGTAGTTTTAGAAAAGTTTGTTAATAAAAATGCTCTGAAATATGTTCAAGACTTTGGTTTGACATACTAGAGTAGCAAGTAAATGAGATATCATGGATTTCAGATTCACCCGCCACCCTAAACATCACAAACACTGTGGATGGCCACTTTACATGTCGGTCAGATGGTCTCTTCCTCTCTAAGTATGTGATTTTAGGCCACAATAAGCTAAAAATTAAAACCGAACATGTCGACAGTGAAGAGTCTGACACAAGAGCACAATTCCCACCTGTTCCTCTCTCCACAACCGCCATGAAGAACAGATCCGTCTCACGCAGCAGACCGGCCTTCAACACATGCTGCACGAAGCCCAGCTCC